CGACTTCCGCCGCTTGGCATCGGGCGCTCGCGCGTGCGCAGAACGCTTCTCGGAAAAGGTCCATTGTTCTAGGAGGATCGTGACATCATAGTCCTTGCTTGATCTCGCGCCCTTCTGTTCCTAAAATACGGCCACCCGTTCGACACACTCATATATGAGTGATGTCATAGCATTCTCTATATACTGACAAAGCGTGGCAGATCGCCACTGGAAGCGGCTGCCGAAATTCAAAAGGTAGAGCGGCAGACAACGGATGAGAGCAGAGTCACGTGACGGGTGCCCCGCTGCGGCGAGACACTAATACCCTAGTTAGACGGGCGCTTTCAACTGCCATTGAGTCAACGACAGTTGACTTAAACGCTATTCGCCGGAGTTACACGGCGAATAGCGTGTAACTCCGGCGTGTAACTCCAACTATCATCGAGCCGCTAATGACAGTTGAGTTCAACTGAGTTCCCCTACCTCAGTTCAGCTGAACGGACTTCCCCAACGGAGGTAAAATGGCGCCTGTCCGCGGGACCGCTACCGCCGACCATCGTTTGCGAGGCACTTACTGTTTCGGAATGCAGGAGGAGGCATCTAGAAAGAATCGTAGCAGCAAAATATCCGGGAAGGAACAGGTTTAGGCATCCGAGCTGCCACTAAAACGATCCCGGCTAGCCGGCAAGCCACCAAACGAGCAAAGATGGCGGCGGTACCGGCTGTATAAATGGACCAATAGTAATGGGTGCACCCATCGTAGCGGGCGGTAGTTTGCGCCACTTATCCTAAAATATGCGCAACCTAACCCTGAATCTACTTTGGTAGTCGTGTAAACGCCGCTAAAAAGCAACAAGGTATTGAACATATACATATTGTACGATATGCTTATAATAAATAAAAGATGTGTCTCCGAGTAAAATACTTAAACAATTAGTCTGATCACGTGGCACAAGAACTAGTTTCGTTTTAGCTTCAACTGGGTTCTAGAGAGCCGTGTAGCACCATCTCATGGCGAATTCCACTGGTCGTTTTGGAGCGCGCCGGGATCGACTTTTCTGGAGCGAGCCTATTTCACTGGGCGATCGGGATTGAGAACGACATGTTTCACTGGTCGTTTTGGATTAGCTCCCGCTCCAGATCTCGATCTGGATCCGATGGCGAATTCCACTGGGTGTTTTGTAGCGCGCCGGGATCAGTTGACCAGATCCGAAATCGAGCTCACAATCCAAACGGGGTCGCGTCGGCGATGGATCCCCCGTGGAACATGACCACTGCTCTGGGATCGGCATTTGCCTTCATGTCATTCAACTGCCGAGGAATCCTCTTTCCGCGGTCGCCGCGGTCGTTTCGAAGACGTTTCCGCAATCGCGGCGCTAACACGTGTTCGACGCACGAGCGGCAGCAATGGCTCAAGAGCTTCTAGCAAAGATTGCCGGAATGCCCGTAGCGCGGCCAAAACCTTCTCTTCTCCTTCCCGGAAAACGAACCGGCTGTCGAGCCAAGGGGTAAAGGCCCTGTCACACTGAGGGGACAGTTGGACAACTCTATACGGCAACACGGGGGAGTCGTGTTGCCGGCGACCCTGTCACATCGCGGCAACAACAACAGTCGGGCAACATGTTGCTGCCGCCCGGCAACAGTGTTGCCCGATTTGTTGTCCGACAACCCTGTCACACCGCGCTGACAGCGAGGACAACACGGGGAACACTCCGCCATCTTGATTGTTTACCTTCGTTCGTGTGGGGCGCGGAATTGCTGGAAATGTGACTCTACAAAGTGCTAGTGCGTTCGAAGGGCCGGGAATTACCACGGTACGACATCAACCAGTGGCTGTAATTAGAGAACTTAACACGGGGAGTATTTTCCGCTCTTTATATTATCGAGATGTTCTTCATTCGCTGACAAAGCAGATAGCCCTAACCGAGGAAAGTGACATCGCTGATATATGTTCGGCATTTACGCCACCGTATAAAGAGTTTCTGTTCGGTTCTTTCATGCAATTCCTATTTCTACTGTGAAATCACGTTAGCACCGGCGGTACCCCAAACCGTCTTTTGTAACGTGGTATTGAGCTGAATCGACAGTGCTTCAAAACTGCGACACCGACACCATCGGCCTTCATAACAATCGGTGGAATAAATATTTTTCAACGCTGTCTACTTGTCTACCGCCTGCTATATGATCGATTCATTGCCCCAAAACGTCTTGGGTATTTTTGAAACAAATCAGGTGTCTGGTAGCGGCTGGTTCCAAGTTACAAGCATCAACGTTTTCGCAATCGCGGCGCTAACACGTGTTCGACGCACGAGCGGCAGGAATGGCTCAAGAGAGTCTAGCAAAGATTGCCAGAATGCCCGTAGCGCGGCAAATACCTTCTCTTCTCCTTCCTGGAAAACAAACCGGCTGTCGAGCCAAAGGGTAAGCAAGCGGCCATCACCATTTCTTCTGAGTCGAGATCAGGCGAGATGCCCGCGAGAAAGGAAGTCACGTGTGTGCGCCGAGGGCTGACCCGTCTGGCTTCCGGTTGAATCCGCCAAAATCGGGGGAGCGACTTTTCTCGGATCCAGGTCGAGATCTGGAGCGGGAGGTAATCCAAAACGACCAGTGGAACACGTTCGTCTCGATCCCGATCGCCCAGTGAAATAGGCTCGCTCCGGAAAAGTCGATCCCGGCGCGCTCCAAAACGACCCGTGGAATTCGCCACGAGAAAAGTCGCTCCCACGATTTCGGCAGATTTAACCGGAAGCCAGCCGGGCCAGCCCTCCGCGCACACACGTGACTTCTTTTCTCGTGGGGCATCTCGCCTCAGAAGAAGAAGAAGCACGTCGCGGGCTGGGCTCCTAGATTGTCTCGACATCAGGAGAATTCGTAATGGCCGCTTGCTTACCCATTGGCTCGACAGCCGGTTCGTTTTCCAGGAAGGAGAAGAGAAAATATTTGCCGCGCTACGGGCATTCCGGCAATCTTTGCTAGAAGCGCCTGAGCCATTCCTGCCACTCGTGCGTCGAACACGTGTTAACGCCGCGTAGCGAAAACGTCTTCGAAACGACCACGGCGGCCGCGAAAAGGGGATTCCCGGGCAGTTGAATGACGGGAAGGTATCCGCCGATCCCGGAGCAGTGGTCATGTTCCACTGGGGATCCGTAGGCGGCGCGACCCCGTTCGGATCTTGTGCTCCAATCCGGATCTGGTTGACTGATCCCGGCGCGCTCCAAAACGCCCAGTGGAATTCGCCATCAGTTCAGTTCAGTTCAATCACAGTTGGCACCGATAACTGTGATTGAACTCAACGACAGTTCAAAGCGCCCGTGTAACCAGGGTATGAGACACACTTCTCCCGATCGATGGAATATCCGCTCGTGCTCCTCGCGTTCCTCGTGCTCCTCGCGTTCCTCGCGCTACCGCTTCTTTTCTCGTTGGGTTTGAAAACCATGTTTCGGGCACTCGCCGCTGCAAAAGTTGTGCGCTGACGTCCAGGTTCCCATAGATATGGTCTGTGCTACCAGATCCTCGCGCTACAAATCTGCGACCAAGCACTCTATGGCTCCGTCATCGAACTGCCAGGCTTTGGGGGTAAAGAGAAGGCTATGGTGATGTTTTGGAGTTGTAGAGTCTTGTTCCATGATTCTGCGTCCTTATTTTTCGAAATCCAAATTTCGGTTCAGCACCCCGTGCGTGTTTTTAGCGGGGGTTTACTGTGCGCCACTTGGTCGAACTTTCTTGCGAATGAAGGTTCCCCTTGGGTTTGCTTTGTTTAACACTCTCGCTGCGATCATCAAGAATGATCTCCGTTATCGGCGACACACAGCTGAGTGCTCGTGCGGCATCTGGGTCATCAGAGAGACCTACGCTTCTGACTTTTAAAAGCCCCCGGGCTTGGCTTAAGGGGGGGATAATGTGGGGTCTCGTGGGCCCCCATCCGGTCAACAACCTGGCACCAGAGCCTAATGGCTTGACGTTGGCCGCCTCCATGGCAGGACGAACTGTCATGACTTTGGTGCCCGACTGCCTCCCTCGGGACCCTTCTGGAGGACATTGGGAAAAGCAGCGGTAGACATCTGCGGACGCCCCCTCCTTGGAGAGTCTTGGCGCCCGAAGGCCTGGACGTGCCGTGGCAGAGCCAAACAGCGAGCTCCAGTGGCAGACCACCCACGCTGGGGAGAGGGGCTCCCACCGGTATGACGCGCGGTGGCAGCGGGGGCAATAGGGGAAGAAACTGAGAAGACTGTGGAGGCAGGATTGGAGGGGACCTTTGCGCGGGAACTGGGCGATGACGAAAGTTCGCGGTACTGGCGACCGCGACGCCGGGTCGGGCGGCGGTACGGTGACATGGTCCGAACTTAGGCCCCGGATTGGACACTCCACGGTGACAACCCCATAATGCGGTGTGAACAAGCACTGCAGTGACGATCGGGATGCAGTATACTGTGGCGGGGGACCTCTCCCAGGCTTCCTCGACAACCTTTCACAATTCCGGACCCCCCCCCCCCCCCCCCCCTCCCCACACACACACCCTCCCCTCCCACAGAACGTGATTGCAATAAATCCTTTCGCTATACATTGCAGATTCACGTTCATCCGGAGACAGGGGCCTGGGAAACCGGATTAAAACTGTACACCCTTTATACTAGAACTGAGTATTAAATTTGGGTTATTGTTCGTGCTAAGAAAACGAAAAGCATTTGGCACGCCCCAGCGGAGGACTAAGGAATAATTTAGACCATCTGGGGAACTTTTCAGATGCAACCGATGTGTCGGTTACATGCCGCCTTTTCTACGCAAGAAGCCTCCGTCTGATGGAACTAAGTATAAAGAGTATGTTTCGAAATCACAGCTGGCGCGCACGTGTAGCACTGCCTTGTCTAACGTAGACTGCGTTAGGCTCAGCTAAAATGTTCCATTATGTCTTAAATAATTGTAAACAGATAATAACTGTTCTTTTCAATTAAAAAATTTGTTCTCATGCTATATAAGACGAGAAACCGGACTAAGGGCGTTGGTCGTTAGGACTTATAAGAACCTCTGAACCGCCGACAGAAAACTCACCATGTTCGCATGGGCCCTCTTTATACCGCTCGTAGCCGGAAGCATCTTTTTAGAAAGCAGCTTTCATCGTGTTCCCGAAATAACCGAAAGGAGCGGATTTACAAAAACCTACGGGATATTTGACCCCTGCAACTTGAACAAACGTGAGAATATTTTTTCTTTCATCGAGCCAAGTAGGATGAAATGTGTTTAACTAATAGTTGAGTGCGTGTTTAAGTAAGTACACTATGTGACACTCTTAGCGCGAACCCGAGACCAAGGGTGCTTTTAAGTTTTCTTTTGAAAAGCTACTGCCAGGCACCAAAAGGTTTCACTTAAGGCCCGTTCACACGCTTGCGTTTGTTTACGACCAAGTTCCTGCAGTCTGTTACGGCGAGAGAAGCGAGAGAACATTTTGGCACTTTGGCGCCATCTCTGAGTTGACACTGGAAGCGCCTTTCACTAGGGCGAAAGTTTCGAGATATTTGCAAGATAAAATTCACGCGCTATCTCCGCAAAATTGTCGTTTATGACAATCTCAAATGTTTCTGAGCAAAAAAAAAAAAAAAAAGTAAGAATCGTGCGATAAGAAATGGAATATATACAGAAATATCAAGCGTTCTATGCCTCCCTATAGAGGCGCCAGTTTCTTCTCTCACCATAGGAGAATTTAAGAGGTTACGGTCCCAAGCAGTCGCAAGTGTGTGAACGGATATTCATGTTAAATTCATAAGTGAACACTTTTCAGCATGTCCTGTCAAGCAGCACGGTAATAACTGGCAAGTGTTGTGCCAGTTCCGGCAGAAAATCGTTCCAATATCGGTCGAATGTCTAGATTTGGAACCCAGCTCAATTTGCGAGAGTTATTAGCGCAGCTTCGTTTCGCGACCGTCCTTGTACCGGTGAGATATCATGTGAGTACTGTACGTATCGGACTGCCGCCCGGATATCGGCAGGACGTTGCATATGTGTCTGCTCTGTATAGGTCGTTTACGAGAGATACTTTTCTGTGGAACCGAAAGCGGAGTATTAAATACGTTTTCACCATCTTTATGCAAAACAAAACCATAATTTAAACACGAAGGACCGTGGGAGTTGAGAGGGAACGAGGGCTACTTTCAGGAAGCATGCTTGCTAAGTACTTACGAACAAAGAAAGCGATGCATAAGCCGACCAAAAATTGGGTTGTGTGTATGTTTATACAGCCTAGAACTTGGTCTGCCTCACAGGGGCGACGAGTCTCCCAGCTGTAGATGAGCAATTTAGCCAGTGCAGTACAACCGCTAGCCTGGGGTCTTTGACGTGCACCACGCAGTAGTGATACACGACCGCACGCCGGTACGATGCTCATCCAGATCGAAACGGGCAGGGGTGGGGATTGAGCCCAGGATCCCTGGGTTCTGCCATAAGCCGACTCCGTCAGCACAGGGCAGCGAAAACACAAGGTCAAGATTGAAGAAGGTCGCACACATTCAGTAGCACTCTTTATACCGCCGATGATCAGTTCTTCGTCGAAGCGCATCCACCAAACACAGCGCAATAATTGCCTAAACTCCGACAAAAAAAAAAAAAAGACTTATATAGTTTTTTTTTAACAAAAAAACTATGCAAGTTTTTTTAGCCATATTTTAAGATCTTGACGTCTGCTGGGGATTAAGTTCAAATAAGATTGCATAAAAAAATTTCATTTACGAAGAGACACCGCGGTCGCGCTGCAACATGCGCAAGTAGGCGAACAATGGAGAACTCGTCTCGGAAACCGCTCCTACCTCGCCCTTTACCCTTTGCCATAACTTGGCAAATGGCGAAGACCCAGTGAGCCCATCAGCGCGACAGACCAAGCCACGTGACAAAAGAGAGTTTTAGTAGATCATTTTGGCTCTCCCGCTACGCTATACGCTAGAGCGACGACGCTACTGCGCATGCGCGCTGCTAGCGGAAACATTGCGGAGCTGCGGAGGCTAGCGGAGGCGCGCTAGCGGGCCAAAATAGCGAGGGGCGTAGCGCGGCGTGCTAGCGTGGCTCTCGCGAGAACGGGTCTTGGCGAGATAAGGGAGACCCAGCGAGGGACGCTGTTCAAGATGGCCGCCACGCCGCGTCTACTCGGTCTGTGCTTTTCGCAATCGTCGTTCTAAGGGGTGGATTATACCTTGCTGCTGCGAGAAGTACCCGCGACAAAGCCGTTCCACGACTGCAACAGGTAGCGATTCATGGCGGATATACTAAACGCGGCCACGGAAAGGAGAAAAAAAAGAAAAAAGAAAAAGCTTCGCAGTTTTTGGTGCTGTGAGCGAAAGGTGCAGCCCCCTGCTCGGCCGCTTTGTCGTGAAGACAAAACCGACTAAGGAAGCGGAGCGAGCAGGCGGATATGAGGGATTTCTGTGGCGCTTCATTTTCGGTGAACAACGACGCAACAGATGAGCTACAGTGGTTGTCCTTTATTTTTGAAGATTTTTCTCGGTGGCTTTGGCACTTGACTCATATCGGATTGGCTTGGACAGCTTGGCTGACAGTTGTATTCAATTACAAACATAACAGTCACCTATTTACAAAAGAAGCAACGATTAGCACGTTATTCAATAAAAAAACAATATTTTATTAAGATAACGACGTTAATAAAAACAATTGCGAAGGATTGCTTTACAAATCTGTTTTACGCGAGCCCTAGTGTCCGAAAGAGCCGCTAGTGGCGTTGCGTTAGCTCTCGTAACGTTGTAATCCGTAGCGGGTTGCGAACGTTCTACTAAAACTTAAAATGGTAGTTCCGCTACGCTACATATAGCGGAGGTCATAGCGGCTAGCGGATAGCACAGCGGGAGTGACTGAATGATCTACTAAAACACTCTAAAGATTCGTCCAAGAGATAAGGTCCTGCGGATAACTGTCACGCGTTTTGCTCCGTTTCCCTCATTTTGTCAAAGCAACCGCCGCGTTTGCTCACTGCCACACGAAGGCATAAAAGAACGTGTGGAAAGCTAACAAAAGGCGAGGTCGGAGACTGATGAACATAGCGGCTAAGCTCCCTCGGCTTGCTTTGTCTGTCCTTCTCAGGCTCAAGATAAGAGAATGCCGTTTTTCCGTACTTTTCTTTTTTCAACCCCTCTCATGATTGAAAAGTTAACATTTCTTCGGAACTCCCCCTGGTTAGATACGCAATATGAATGGGGTACATAGTAAACTGTAATTTATATATCGTGCCAGACGTTTTATAGCCGGCTCGGCTCCTTTTTCACGGGTGACTGTGTCTGGGCACAAAAGTCGCAATTTCTTGTTGTTATATTCTTCTTTCTGTCAGTATTGTATTTTTTTTAATGGTTTTGCCTGTCGCATCGTGGCCTGTGTACTTAGCTGCATAGAAGGCAACAACCGTCCCGCAACGCCCTCCGCAAGCTGCTACGATACCCGAAACTCTACAGCCAAGGCCATCGGCGCGCAGGCGCAGTGGCGACTTCTTCGTCGCGGAAGGCTTAGCGGAGGGGGAAACGCGGTCTACGAAAACTCCCTAATATCGGCGCAAGACTGTACGCTGCCTGGGCGTGATGCGACGATGGGTAGAGGGGTGAATGGATACGTCTGAACCTTTCTAATCGGCAGGGGCTTGCATCAATTAGCGAAAGCTTATAAGTTTGACCGATATACTCCGTTTAAGTTTAGGATTAACTAGGAACGATAAAGAATGTTTTATTTTGACGTCAAAACAACTGTGGCCATCTAGCGGGCGCTACACGAGACTCATACGCAGTGTGTTTATCAAATGCCGATAGAGTAGATTCTTAAAGCTGTTGCGCAGCTTTGTGGTAACGCGAACGCTTCACAGGGAGGGGACACAGCACCGAATCCCTTAAACACCGCGGCGGCGGGATATATTTTTCGAGCCTTTTACAATATCGATGACGGACGCTTTACGTTCGACTTCTACAATTATGCAATAACTCCAAGGGGCGTCATTTCCTGTGATGGGAAAGACCCGTAACAGCTGTCGCTGTAAAACAAGATGTCCTAGTTTTTGGCCGACTTCCCCATCGTTCTCATCCCTCTAAAAGCCATCAGCACCAACGTTCTTCGATCTATGAGTTGACAAGTTCCAAGGAAGATTGTCGTTCGAAAACGCTTACAAGGATGGACAGTTAGCCTAGTTGGTAAACGTTCATGATGAAAAATAGCGCCATACACAAGGAAACAGACGGGAGAAATACATACACGACAAGGCGCTGACTGTACTCCGTTTCACCTTATGTTGTACCGCAGCGAAGGCTAGAAGCGCGAGCTCATAGCATTGGGAGCTGCTCTTAACGCACGAGAGCTTGTGCCGCCGAGATGTGCCCTAGAGCAAGGAGCTCGCGCTTGTAGCCTTTTCAGCGGTACATCATAAAGTGAAACAGAGTATATCAACTTTCCTATATTGAAAACACGCGGGTATCAGGTCTTCTTTTTCTTTCACTGTAGCGTCGCTTCTTTTTCTTTTACTTTGGGGTAGCTTCTTTTTCGTTTTCTTCCAAGGAGTACATATACATCCAACCTCCAAAAAGGCCTCGAATAACTTTTTTTGAAGGAAATTATTGAGGCCTACCATACAGCAGAAACGGAAACAGCATGCGTGAGCCAGCCATCAGTGAACCTAAGGGGCAGTGCGATGGCCTTTTTGGACCTTGGATAACGTCTACTTCGAAAAAAAAACGAAAAAGAAGCGACCCCAGAGTAAAAGAAAAAGACGCGACACCTCAGCGAAAGAAAAAGAGGACCTCGTACCCCCTTGTCTTTAAAATAAGAAAGTTGATCGTCAGCGCGTTGTCCTGTATGTATCTCTCTCCTCTGTGTCCTTGTGTTTGGCGCTGTTTTTCATCATGTACGAAGACGGTTCTTCTCTGTTGACGGCACGCAAGCAGGTACGGGCGGACAGCGTTCCCGACACGGCTCCCCCGGGCGACGGATAAGAACCCGTTTTCGAACGACGTCCTTTTTGCGCAAGCTTGCGCAAACTTCGTGTTTTCAATAAAACGCATAATGTAATCAGGTTCCACCGCAGTGCATCCAACGTTCCACCGGTTCCGCCAGGTTTGCCCCTAGGGCGGGATGATAGCGTAGTGAGCGCCACCGAGCGGACGAGCCACGAAAAGGCACCAGGCGTTCTGTGAAACTGATTTTGATTTATGAACGTTGCTCAGCACAGTCGCCGAGCGTCGTCACGTTCACAATAAGAAGGCAAAGCGTCAGGAATGGGCCGAATATATACTCGCCACTAACACTTACGGGGTTTGAGTTGTTATAATCCGAGAATAGTCGGGAAAAACGTATATGATGAATTTGGTTATTAATTGTTAGAGCCCTTCAACTCGCAACTTCTGCATATTTCTGAGAAATGCATTCGGCAACCACGTCATAAAAAAAAAAATTCGGGACGATCATACGACGTGATGCAGTTAGACTGCGGCAGCTTTTTGTTTATTTTCGTTTTCGCTCACGTCGTCGCTAAATTGTTCCGCCAATTATAGCGAGGAAACTGAACTGGGGCATGGGTCACGTGACGTCAATTTTTCCGCTAAATATAGCGGGTAACCTGAACTTGTCTGTAGGTGCCGTGACGGCAGGTCACGTGACATCAATTTTCCCGCCAAGTTTAGCCAGGAAATTGAATTGATGCCTAGGACACGTGACGCCCATTTTTCCGCTAAATTTAGCAGGGAACTTGAATTCGTCTGTAGGTTCCGTGATGTCTGCTCATCTGACAATCATTTTACCGCCAAATTTAGCGGGAAAAGTTTCGTCTACGCTCACGCCATCGCGAAACAGGGGAAGATTTGTAGATGCCGCTGGAAAAAAAGATATTCTACCCGTCTCCCTGCCGCACCGAACTGGAGGAAGAGTATTTGGATATTGAACAGGCTGTTTCCGACGCTGAACACTTTCTTTCCAATAATTAAACATTTTTAACGGCATTATGGCGTGTTCTTGAGGTGTTTGAGGACATAGAAGACAAATGATGTTGGGGTTGCCAGTGGCCCTTTCCAAGGGGTAAACAAAGTATATATATAGGATAAGCTTTTCTTTTTAGTTTTATAAGTAAGCGCTTTGGTGTCTTTTGCCTCGCAGCTCTAACCGTTTGAGACTAACAATGTCTGAGGAGTATCCAATGGACGCTCGCGGCGGTTTCTGCCACAGTCGCTCTTTTTGCAACGTTTATAAGTAATGTTTGCTTCTCGCTTCTTCCTTTGCAGCTGGCAACCGAATAGTGAGCTGTGCCCAGTTGCGTCGGCAGGGAAATAACATTAGCGGATATTACTGGATCAATCCTCACAACGAATTCTATGTGAAATGTGACATGGATACTGATGGCGGCGGATGGACAGTAAGTGTCACCACCTGTTTCTGCGCACGATGTTCACACACAAACACAAACATATGTACATATATTTATGTACAAAATGGGAATGAGTGAAGATTGACAAGTGCAGCCGTAGTAATATTGTGTACGAAGAGGGGAGACAGTGATTATTGAATTTAATGCATTAAGGTTAAGGAAAGGGAAATGAAAAAAACAGCTGGCGAAAAGTTGGACCAGGAGCGGGAATCGAATTCGCAACCTTCGCCTATCCGCGGGGCGACGCCTTAACCGATCTGACCATCCCGGCCACTGGTTCCGGCGGGCTCAATTTTTGACCAGTTCTCTGTGTGCTGTTAGTTTCAAATTCGGTTGGCTGAGTAAACGACAGCCGTTGCTGATTCAAGGCCCATGCTAGTTCCGAGTTGCGGCAGTGACGTGGCACGCCATTTCAGCTTGCAAATGTCGGAAAGGGCCCGTCTTCCAAGGCTGCACTTGTCAATCTTCATTCATTCCCATTATATGCACGGAGCAGCCCGTCCTTATGGGGAGGAGTGGTTCCCTAGATATATTGGAAGACGGTGTTCACGCAACTTGCGTGAGCACCAGGTTGCGTGAACGTGCCTCTTCCCTAAAATCCACACCGGCAGGACATCTGCCCATGTCTCAGACTGTCACTGCACGACGATTTGAACACAGGCAGGAGTCCTTAGGCGGTTCTCGGAGAAAAGATAAAGGGCACTATACAAAGCAATACAAAACACCAAGGGGAGCGAAGCTGGCAGAAGAACGTGAAGGAGCTCCTGCTAAGCCTCAGAACGGCGTGCCGACGTGTTAGTTCGAGACCTAGCTTATTCAGGGCGCCCTGAGGAAGCTAGGCCTAGGTTTAGTGAAACGTCGGCACTCCGTTTCACTAGAAGATGCAAGCCCGTGAAGAAGCTAAGCGACCTAGCTTCTCCAAGGACTGAAGAAGCTAGGTCTCCTAGTGAAACCTCGGCACGCCGTTCTCAGGTTTACCAGTCAAAGCTAAGGAGGACGCTTGTGTCGGTGCACGTTTCGTGACGTTAACTGACAAAAAAAACATGTACTACCTTAACCCTAATATATATATTTTTTTCTGAACACTTTTTCGTTTAAAGTGTTTTTGAGTGACATTTTCAATGTGTTTTCTTTAATTATATTATTTTTCTCTATCATGTGTTTTTATCCAATGTCGTTTCCTACTGCAATTCCATGCGTGTTTCTGTATACTTCATTGGCATTGGTCCATTTACTTTTTATCTTTTTTCTTTCTCTTTCTTGCTTTTCGTCTTTTGATTATTACAATGTTCACGATTTTCTTCTCTGGAAAGTGTACTAGAACGATAGTTGTGAGTTAGCGCAGTCGTGTCTTCGTCTTGCCTTTGTGTGCCATTCGCGCAATTTATTCTTCGTAGCACTGAATAATAATCCGCAAAGTATATAGTTGGTTCAAAACACCGGAAGGTATGCGCCATGGGGCTTGAACAGTCACTAATGCCATGCTTTTCCCGTAATGGACCTTTCTGGAAACGCCAGTGCCTCCGGTGGGCACTCCGAGGAATGATGGGAACTGTGAGGGTGTCCTGCCCTTTAGAAAAGCCAAGCCTCGCCTAGTCGAACTTCAAGATGATAGGTGGTGCACGCTTCCGCCAGAACAGCAGCACCATTCTTAATCCATTCATGCAGCCAGGCGAGCTAGCGGTCTCCAAGCCTTGTTGGGTCAAGCGACGTTTTTTTACTTTTTTATTGTCGAAGGAATATAAGTTGTACCATTTAGCTCCACTATTTCCAATAGCAAAAAAAAAGAAAAAAAGAAAAACACACGTTGGATGCGTGAGTGATACCTTGCTCTTTTGGCGCCTGGCCCATTAAGAAAAAGTATGGTGGCCCATCCAGAACGATGGCCTATCCGAAAAAAGGGCAGTTGGAAGACGTGCTGTCATTGAGGGTTTCTCACCTCATGTGGGCGACGCAGCGCAGCACAGGGTGCAACAAAGATTTCCGTTGGCCGTACGTAGGGACCCAACGCGAACGTAGTTACCCTGGTTTTCGTAGGAGGGACGGCAGTAGCAGCAGACGACGGAGCAGCGACCTTCACTGCGTGCGCCGCCTGAGGGCGCGCGCTGCTCTCCAGAAAGGTCCATTGGCAAACAAGTTTCGTCATGCTCTCGCGACTACCACCAGTTGAACGTTTTGGATAAAGGATGCACCGCGAATGGCAGCTGATGCTCTCTCCAGGCAAAGGAGAAATGTCACGTGAACCGCGATCACCATAAACTTGCCCACCTTCAACGCAAAAAACAAACAAACAAACAAAAACAATGTAGGAATGAAGAAAAATCCAAACAAAATATCGCCAGTACAAAGTTTTACGAACACACAAACCAACATATGCATTTAAATAAAACTTTTACTGCGCCATTGCACAACGAAAAGGAAAACAGGAGCAAACTGCTTTATTAATGGACCCTCCAATAATTTTTTAACTGGTTTAAAACTTGACCTGAAACTGACCTCATCGAACGTACAAACAAAGAGGTAAACTATTTTTTTTCGGAAACTTGAAATATTTTGGCTTATAATCGAAGTAAAATTACAAAAATTTAATTATGCTGACGCAATCGGCATACTTCAATGATTGGAGGATTGGAACGAAGCAGCTGACCAATTGGCTGCGGGTTAGGCTCACCGGTGCCGGGCCGAGGACGTGCAGGTATCTGCGCGCCTAGTCGGCCTCAAAGCCGCTTGCCTTGAATCGTCGTAGGTTCAGGCTCCAGACGTTAACAATGGACCTGGGGTTGTTCATACTTTAGCGTCGGCGAAACCAACGTGCGCCGGCGTAGAGCAATGTTCGTCTCCCACTTTGCCGCGCCCCTTCTAGTGTCCAGTGTGTCGGTGTGATCAAAGCTGCGATTCGAGGCAGGAAGTTCCACCGCGACAGGATTGTTAGGAAAAGAAAGCGATTGCAACGCAAGAGACCGCGAGAAGAGAAAGAGATCACAATGTCGTGTGCGTCAAAGCATATGCCGGCCGACTTCAGTGGATTTGATGCACTCGCGTTTCTAATGCAATCGGTACTTGCCGACACTGCCAATCACAAAATGTGTACGGATGACGCCACCGGCTGCGCGTTTTCAACACATTGTGACACCGCCGGACGTTGATCTGTTTTTGCCTGAACGAATTAATATATGATGCCCCATTATGTCGTGGCTACTGCTTGTTCCCCAAGTAGCTTGAAGCAAAAAAAAAAAAAAAAAAATTGACCGCATCTTTACATGGTGAATGATGTTGATTGGGGCGAAGCTCTGGTGGTGCTTGTCTGCGTAGACGCTGAGCCGCAGCCTGCCGAGCCTTTCGTTCGTTTTCATCCATGTCAGAAAGAGAATGTGTGGTATGGAACGTAGTTATATACGCATTTGAGCATTTGACCGCAGCGCCCTCTCCTGTATAGACGTTGAGCGGCTACATGCAACGTTTCATCCTTGACAGAAACCCCAGCTCTTGAGTTACTACCCCATCTCAGAGCCCCCTACTCGTCCCGCACTCGTGGCCGAGTGGTTAAGGCGATGGACTAGAAATCCATAAGGGTCTCCCAGGAGCGCGACAGAACAGCACACGACAAAACAGCACGCGACAAAACAGCACGGTCAAAACAGCACGCGTCAGAACAGCACAGCGTCAAAACAGCACGGCACGCAATCCTACTCATCACCTGATAAGGATTTGTGTGCCGAATTCTTTGTTCAAAGATAAGAGTTTAATCGTGAACTGAAACAATAAAAATCAAGGGCGTCCGTAAATACCGCGCATTGTTTAACACCCCTAGCTTCCGTCTACTAGAAAAGGGCATAAATGCGAGTGTTTTCTTGCCATTTCTGCCACCGGCGCGAATTTATCACCTCTCGCAGCCGTGAAAATGGGAGAAAACGTACCGAGTACAATGCTTGCAAATTTCTGGATTTTCATATTTGCCTCTCCGACTAAAGTGCTACTGAAGCTCATGTTCGTCCTGTGTACAAATACGAGCACACGACGATAGTATCAGATAACGATAAGGTCCCAGTGCGTCTTGCAGAACAGGTCGCGTCGGCTGCCACAGACAGCAACAAATAAGAAAACCAGTACCTGGTACTCAGTATACATTTTACACAAACGCTTTTAATTATTGCATTTTCGTTAGTATACTGGTTTTCGTCAATAAACCTAAGATAAGTGAGAAGTTTATGAGTCTACAAATATTCACCGCAATGAACCGAAAGCTTATGTTTGGAAAAAAAAACGAAAAAAAAAGTGCGCGGAATTTCAGAATAATACAAACTGAAAACGCCGAACCCTAGCTATAATGTCAATGTCCTGTTTTGACGCTGTGCTGTTTTGACGCTGTGCTTTTTTGGCACGTTCTCTTCTGTCGCTGTGCCGTTTTGACGCTGTGCTGTTTTGTCGAGTGATTTTTTGACGCTTGCTGTTTTGTCACCTCAGTCATAAGCACGAGCACCAGCAAGATCGATGTGAGCACGGGCGCCGGACGGACAAGGCTAGACCCTAAGGAGCATCGCCCCTAAAAAAAATCATAAACCAAATTTGCCGCTGAGCACAACGCAATTTAGTCACCACTACAATCAGAGTACTGGCTAAATTCTGAACCTTGAGTCGTTTCGACCGGTGGTGTTCATCCTCCCGTGACATGTCGCTCGGAAATCTACTCATGCATTTAGGTGAGCGCCCATGGCGCCAAGACGGCCCAGGCGGCTTCAACCTGTCTACGTACTTCCCCGAACCGGGCGGAAGAGAAGCGGGTGCTTGGGGGTGTAAATCCCCAAATTACATTCTGATAAGCATAAAGAAGCCTGAAGCAAGATTTCGCGCTTCCTCCTCGATCGACTTCCAGGTAATTCAGCGTCGGTCCTGGGCTGAACCTGAAGACTATGGTTTCGAGAGATCCAAAGAAGAGTATGAGAAAGGATTTGCCGGAAGCGCTTCTTCATACTGGATAGGCAAGTTATACTAATTCCGGTGTATTTACTTCTTAGAAAATGCAACCAACAAATGATAAAGAAAACATACATTGAATCCCGCCAAGCTCCTGTGAACTGAGAATTCGTTCACAGGTGTCAATGTGTCACGTCGCATACTAACGTCACGCGACGTGGTAAAACTTCCCGCTAAATTTAGTGGTGAGGCTATAACGTCCGTCATGTCATATCTGTGAGTGACGTTATATATTTATCTACACTGACCCCCAACCAGAAAACAACAAAAAATCGTCTTTATTAAAATGTAATTATGCGTTACCGAAAACGTCCCAGAAAACGGAAGTTTGTATAAACGCAAAACAGCAAAAGATAGAATCGTATTTGACTAGAATTGTATCTTGATCATGAGCACAAACAATTATAGAACTATAACTCTCGGACTATTATATGCTCCCACTGCCATGGGAGCGTATAATTATATGTATAGTTACGTGAATCAAAGACACGTGTGAATAGCTATTCTTTTAGTCATATTTTCTTTAATGCATCATCGATTGGTTTGATATGTGCGTCCAGTCAACGCGCCATTTCAGTAAAGTTAATAAAGTCGGCGAGACTGCGCATCGATTGGGGGCTTTTGTAGTTTAAACGGGATGGTAATTCATGCAGCTTTATTCACTTTACTAACGCCAGGTCAGTAAAGTCAGTGAGTCTTTACCAACAATATGCTGGGTTTCAGGTTCAAAATGTGATGCTCATTAAAGCAGCTCTGGGGTAAGCTTACGCCTTACCTCAGTCATAAAATAATCGATTTCAAGAAACATTTATGAGTTAGTTTTATTCTGCAAAATGTATTACTGTTTTATTTCTAAACGTATTTTTTACTTCTCACTAAAGGGAACGAAAATATTCATGCCCTCACCAGCCATCCAAGTAGCCAACAAGTTCTCAGGATCGAATTGACGAAAGAGAATGATGAAACAATTGTTGCAAACTATGGTAAATTTGAAGTCGGTCCAAAAAGCGACGGCTACAGACTGACCTACGCCAAATACTGGAGCCCTAACGGTAAATATCGGCGCTTTCACTGTGCCTCTGGCGCTCTGCTCTCGCGTCGCCTGCAGCACTGCGTTAGTCGGTGCTTGCTGCAAGGTTTGGAAGACTCGGTGTATCAGGATAGAGAAAAACTCTAGAAATTTAAACAATACCTCAGCATGTGACGACCAGCATCGCACTGGTTTTGTTAGGATCGATGTTGTGCACTGTAATGTGAAGCGTGTTTGTCTTAGCGCTGGATAAAGGGAGCAGGTTGTAGTCGAGGGCCCACTCTCGGAAAGTAGAGGAGGGGGAACCATTATTTCGATGTGTTTAAATGTAAACGAGGTGCCGGGGCTTCCTTCTATTGCAATTTAGGTTACTTCAAGTTAGATTGCGAGGGATTCAACTACAGGGACTTGACCCCTCGCATCGTTTGCTGATCGGTTGCCACGGAGACTTTCTCGTTTTTCTTCATCACTGGGAACTTACTGGCGACGGTAAAAGTCGAATGTTATCACCTTATCTGACCAAGAGCTGACTCCGCTGAAAGGAAACCTAATTACGCTCTTCGAAAAAAACAACCAGATGCGGGTTGTCTAGTCAGTTGCGACCTCAGATCCCTGCTTCGATAAAAATATACAAGTACTCGTACACTCTTAGAAAAAAGGTAGTAGAAAGGTAGTAGCTGGAGCAGTTAGTGGCCCTCCATGACCGTTACTACCACCTTACTAACTGTTTCACCTCACATACACCGCAGTAGTAGACACGGTTGTTACAAATGCTAGCCAAGAAAGTCGGAGTAGTAATTAATACTTCCTTCTAGTGTGGAAAAAAACCAAGGTGAATTAAATCACGATCTACGAGGTGTGATCAGAAAGTTCCGGGACTGATTTTGCAGCGTAATAAGACAGGGCAGCACAGTGATGCGCGCTCAGCGGTCAAAGGAAGGGACCTTCGTGTCTCGTTACACCAAAGGGCGCCGCTTTGTGAACATTTGGAGCTACGTTTCACGAGTTTTTTGTGACCGCGTGCATGGGCACAATGACGATTTTAGTATAGACTACAAACCAGAGCGAGAGCGAACATCAATTTTGCATCAAACTCGACAAATATAAAGCAGAGACCTTCGATATGATTCAGCCGGCCTGTGTAAAAAAGCAGTGAATTTCGCGAAGTTTTTGAAGTGGCCCTCGCGCTTCAGGAACGGCAGAACATTGCTGGAAGACGAAGAGCGGTAGGGCGACTTCATCCGACCTCTCCTTGACTTCGGTGACGTTCTGCCATTCTTGAGGCGCGGGTGCCACTCAAAACACTTCGCACACCTCATTTTGTTTTTACAGAAGCCTTCTAAATAATTTTAGAGGTCTCTATTTTATGTGTGCTGAGCTTGACGTAAAATTGATGTTCGTTTTCGCCTTGGTTTGAAGTGTATGGAAAAATCGCCATCATGCTCGTGCATGTGGGCCAACAAACTAGTGTAGCGCAGCTCCAAATGCTCACAGAGCGACGCCCTTTGGTATAATGAGACACGAAGGTTCTTTACTTAAACTGCTGCGCGCGCATCACTGTACTGCCGTCACTTTCTCTACGGTACAAGATCAGTCTCGGAACTTTTTGATCACCCCTCGTATATTGTGATTTCAATATGACCATGTCTGTGACGATTTGAATCAAACTTTACCCGCCAAAGTATTCCCTATATATGTTTTACCTGATGCTTTCTAGGTGCATTTGTCTTGAATTTAAATTTAGGAATCCTCGAAGGCTTTATATCAGGCTGAACACACGAGCAAAAAGGAGTGTTCTTTTGAGCAAATCAGAGCGCTGAGCTTTCTTTCTACCTTAGTCTCGGCCCGTTTTTTGTCTGTCTCATTCTCTGTCTGTCTCTGTATTTGTCTGTCTCTGTCCGTCTGTGCATGTCTCTGTCTTTGTCTGTCTCTGTCTGTCTTTGTCTGTCTCTGTCTGTATCTGTCTGTCTCGTCTGTCTCTGTCTGCCTCTGTCTCTGTCTCTCTCTGTCTGTCTGTCTCTGTCTGTTTCTGTCTTTCTCTGTCTGTCTGTCTCTGTCTATCTCCGTCTGTCTCTGTACGTCTCTGTCTCTGCCTTTCTCTGTCTCCGTCTGTCTCTGTGTCTGTCTTTCTCTGTATGTCTCTGTCCGTCTCTGTCTATCTCTGTCTGCCTCTGTCTCTATCTGTTTCTGTCTTTCTTTGTCTGTCTCTCTCTGCCTATCTCTGTCTGTCTCTGTGTCTGTCTCTGTATATCTCTGTCTCCCTCTGTCTCTGTATGCCTCTGTCTGTTTCTGTCTTTCTATGTCTGTGTGTCTCTCTCTCCGTCTGTCTCTGTTAGTCTTTGTGTCTGCCTGTCTCTGTATATCTCTGTCTCCTTCTGTCTCTGTATGTCTCTGTCTCGGTCTGTCTCTGTCTCTCTCCGTCTGTCTCTGTTAGTCTCTGTGTCTGCCTGCCTCTGTATATCTCTGTCTCCTTCTGTCTCTGTATGTCTGTCTGTCTCTGTCTCCGTCTGTCTCTGTGTCTGTTTGTCTCTGTATGTCTCTGTCTGCTTCTGTCTTTCTCTGTCTGTCCGTCTCTGTCTCTGTCTATCTCTGTCTGCCTCTGTCTGTCTCTGTGTCTGTCTGTCTCTGTATATCTCTGTCTCCCTCTGTCTATGTATCTGTCTGTCTCTGTCTCCCTCTGTCTCTGTGTCTATCTGTCTCTGTCTGCCTCCGTCTGGCTCTGTGTCTGTCTGTCTCTGTCTCTCTCTCTCTGTATATCTCTGTCTCCCTCTGTCTGTCTCTGTGTCTGTCTGTCTCTGTCTTCTGTCTGTCTCTGTATATATCTGTCTCCCTCTGTCTCTGCCTCTGTCTCTGTCTGTCTCTGTCTGTCTGTGTCTGTCTCTGTATCTCTCTGTCTCTGTCTGTATCTCTGTCTCCCTCTGTGTCTGTCTGCCTCTGTCTCCGTCTGTCACTGTCTCTGCCTGTCTCTGTCTCTGTCTGGCTCTGTCTGTCTCTGCCTCTGTATGTCTCCGTCTGTCTCTGTCTGTCTGTCTCTGTCTCTGTATGCGTCTGTCTCTGTCTGTCTCTGTCTCTCTGTCTCTGTATTCCTCTATGTCTATCTGCCTCCGTCTCTGTCTGTCTCTGTATCTCGCTGTCTCTGTATGTCTCTGTATGTCTCTGTCTCTGTATCCCTCTGTCTCCGTCTGCCTCTGTCTCTGTTTGTCTCTGCCTCTGTCTGTCTGTCTCTGTCTGTCTCTGTCTGTCTCTGTATCTCTCTGTCTCTATATGTCTCTGTCTGTCTGTATTTCTCTGTCTCTGTATCTCGATGTCTCTGTCTGCCTCTGTCTCTGTCTCTGTTTGTCTGTCTTTGTCTGTCTCTGTATCGCTCTGTCTCTGTCTGTCTCTGTCTCTGCCTGTCTCTGTCTCTGTCTGCCTCTGTCTCTGTTTGGCCCTGTCTGTCTCTGTCTCCGTCTGTCTCCGTATGCCTCTGTCTGTCTCTGAATCTCTCTGTCTCTGTCTGCCTCTGTCTGTCTGTCTCTGTCTCTGTATCCCTCTGTCTCTGCCTGTCTCCGTCTTTCTCTGTCTGTGTGTCTCTGTCTCTGTATGCCTCTGTCTCTGTCTGTCTCTGTCTGTCTGTCTCTGTTAGTCTCTGTATCTTTCTGCCTCTGTCTCTGTCTGTCTCTGTATGTCTCTGTCTGTCTCTGTATGTCTGTCTCTGTCTCTGTCTGTCCCTGTATGTCTGTCCCTGTCTCTGTCTGCCTCCGTCTGGCTCTGTCTGCCTCCGTCTGTCTCTGTCTGTCTCTGTATGTCTCCGTCTCTCTGTCTTTTTCTGTATGTCTCTCTCTGTCTCTGTCTGCCTCTGTCTCTGTCTGTCTGTCTGTCTGTCTCTGTCTGTCTCTGTCTCCGTCTGGCTCTGTCTGTCTCCATCTCTCTCTGTCTGTCTCTGTCTGTCTTTGTCTCTGTCTGTCTCTGCCTCTGTCTGACTCCGTCTGCCTCTGTCTGTCTCGGTCTGCCTCCGTCTGTCTCTGTCTGTCTCCGCCTGTATCTATCTGTATATGTATGTCTCCGCCTGGCTCTGTCTCCGTCTGTCTCTGTCTGTCTTTGTATGTCTCTGTCTTTGTCTGCCTCTGTCTATCTCTGTTTCTGTCTGGCTGTTTCTGTCTCTGTCTGCTTCCGTCTGTCTCAGTCTGTCTACGTCTTTATCTGTCTGTCTCTGTATGTCTCTGTCTGGCTCTGTCTGTCTCTGTCTGTCTCTGTATCTGTCTGTTAATGTAATCTAAACGTTTTTGGCGAAAGGGTGTCAATGGCGAAGCGTACGAGCCGCTCAGCTAATAGGGGGTTTAGGGTAACGCACGCAAGTTTAGCGCACGCTAGCGCTATATTTAGCGCCTGCGTTAGCCCACAGTACAGAAGAGAGTTTTAGAATACCGTTTATCCACCGCGACCTGGCCGCTACGCAAAAGCCCAAGCATCTCACGCTTGCCACGCCACTAAGATACAGTCACAGTTTTTATTTCACACGCGAAAAGCTGTAACTTGTGAAAAAAACAAGTGCTTTAATCCAGAGTAATATTTTTGATTTGTTTAAACAGGAGAATGCGACGCGAGCGGTCGACCGGTTGTGTTCGTTTGCATCGCCTCGGCGAGAGAGGTCTCGTGTACCGACTTTCGTCGACAAACGTTCGCGCGACGCAAGCATCAAGCTGCCGGTGATCGTTGCCAAACCGGGTGCAATGTCGCACCGGATTGAAAATCGCAGTCGCGAGGATGCCGCCGACGTCGCACTCACAACGCCGCCAAAGCGGCCGCAGACATTCTCCTGGGAGCCGCCATTTTTTAACTGTGCTCGTCTTGGCTTTAGCCAACTTCTCATCACGAATCCTCCTTGGAGGAGCACAAAGACTGCGTACGCGCGCAATTTCCGAAAAATAACGTGCGCTAAAATAGCTCACGCAAACCGCAAAATGTGGTTAGCGTTCTGCGCATGCGCAGTGGCGACGACGCAGTGCTTTGCGTACGCAAAGCTTTAGCGTGCGGTATTCTAAAACTTCCTAATGCATTTGAAGTCGAAGGATCCCGTTTCAGGGGCGAAGCTCCTTAGGGGCTAGCCATGTCCGTATCTCCGTCCGATGTCCGGCGTCGGGGGCTCGTGCTCCTGCTCGTGAGCTCACGCGCTCACGTGCTCACGAGCACGTGAGCACGTGCTCCCGTGCTCGTGTAGGGTAATAAAAGAAAAAACGACCGCATCTCCACGTGGTGAATGATGTTGATTGGGGCGAAGCTCTGGTGGTGCTTGTCTGCGTAGACGGTGAGCCGCAGCATGCCGAGCCTTTCGCTCGTTTGCATCCATGTCAGAAAGAGAATGTGTGGTATGGAACGTGGTTATATACGCATTGGAGCATTTGACCGCAGCGTGACATGGATGAAAACGAACGAAAGGCTCGACATGCTGCGGCTCAGCGTCTACGCAGACAAGCACCACCAGAGCTTCGCCCCAATCTACATCATTCACCACGTGGAGATGGTGTTGTTTTATTTTGCACGCGAACTGTTTTAGATTCCGAGTATCCCGAGTTCGTTGACTACACACGGCTTTTCTGATTGGAAACGATGAGTTGAGAACTTTTGCGCACGTGAATACACTGTCGAATATCGTAACGCTATGGCGCTAAACTGCTCTAATTGTCGATACAATTTTTATTCAGATTTTATTACAATGACGATATGCACCAGTACTCCGCATGTGACCAGTTGCCTCGATAAGTCGGAAAATTAACTAATCTTTGTTGATTAACTTGTTTATTAGTGAAAACAAACATAGTTCCAATGAAAAACTTAGGAAATGCGGATGTAAACTTTTTCATCTGCGTTCTCGCACCGGGCGGCCTTGCGCCTGTTGCATAAGTGGTAACTTTAGCGCATCCCACCGATTCCCACGTGCTTAAAGTATTTGTAAAAACGATTTATTTAGTGTTTTCTATGACACTCAGCAACTTTTTGATTGAAAACATAAATTTCCTTTTAGTAATTAAAAGGTAATTATAAAATTTTGGTTAATTACCCAAGTAACCGCAACAGAAGGCTTCTTCTTATGTCCCCCTGGCCGTGTAACTCGCCTGCTCAGAACGCCATAGTGCAGCGTTTATGGCTTTTTTTAATTATTAAATGTCTAAAACATATTATAACACTCTGCATAATAGTGTTAGAGTGGACAACGTTATTGATTCTTCCACATTGTGTTTGCGCAGGTACTCAATACGACGGGCTGGGGTTCCACAACCAAACTAGGTTTTACGTCGTGAAAGAAAAGGATCGGGTTGATCCTTGCTCCCAATCACCGATAAGTGGTGGCTGGTGGATTCCATTTTCTGGTTGCCTTTTTTCGAATCTCAATGGGCGGAAATTAAAAAACAAGGTTCCGAAAAATACCAGGGGCCTTGCTATTACCTGGTACAAAATAGGCGATGAGAGTTCCTTCGATATCGTCTACAAAAGTGTGGAGATGAAGGTCAGGGATGTCGACTATAACTTCTGTACGGGCAAATTGGCAACTCTGTTCTCTTATTCCTGATGTTCAAGGCGAAAATCACAAATTTGAGCCGAAGCGTCATTCACTATACTCTGTGAGTATCTGGCTTTCTTAATTTTATCTGGGAAGATGAAAATAAATAAATAAATAAAATGCTACTTCTGTAGTTCAGTGGCTCTGCACAACTAGGGTGGACCTTTTCAATGCCAAATGATATTCGAGACAAATTTCAAAAGTGCCGTACAGCATGGGCTCATACAGCGGCATTCGTAGTTATTCGTGCTTGTTGTACACGGCAACCTGGTCCACTCTGCGTTATTTATGACTCGCGGTCTTTAACGTGGACCACGCACAAGTGAAGACCTATCTAACATTTATTACGAGGATTCTTAACTACATAGCAGAATATTTGACTTAAAATTGCACCTGATGCCTTTGTTGTACAGGGGACGTCAAGGGAATTCAGTACGGCTGACAACCTGTGATTTACAGCGATATAATAGTAATAGCAGTTAGTGGGACACTTCGTGGTTTCACTTCGTCGAACGCGCTCCATATCGACGTGGGCCATTTTCGGCGCTACGCCAAAAACATTCCACGGACCGCTGATGACGAGATAACAAGCAAGCAAAAAGACATACATGCACATGCATGGCAGCAAGCTACCATGAATGGTTAGTAAAACAGACCCCGCCGGGCAATCTGGCAGTGCAATAGGATGGGTGGCCATGTGCCCCAGAATTAGCACACGTCATTCTCGAGCAACACGCAGATAAAACTGTCTTAGAATCTTACGATGCATTTTGCATTTTGTATCAGAAAGCAAGGGAAACGCAAGCGCGTTAGTGCCCCGTGAATGACCCTGACCTATAGTGTGTTTTATTTTCTAAACAAATAGCCAGAAAGATGGTATTACTAATGTGTGTTTGTTTCGATAAACCTTCATTTGAGAATACCTTTCGTCTTGCGCACTTCCCTGTTCCGGTTTATTCGGCGCTTTTCGTTCAGCACGTGTGAATATCTGCACCGATATGACGTACGAAAGCACGCTGCCCTCTTAAGCAGACCGCTGAAATGCTCTCTACCTAATATACCGTTATTGATTCCAAAACGCTGTGTAATTTTCGTTTGGCCAGGATTTTGTTTCGGGGGGGGGGGGGGGGGGTGGCGCCCATGACAAAATGGCGTATGAGGGAGAGGGGTAGAGGAGGCCCCCGCAAAATGAAAGATTTCAGGGGGAGGGGGGGCGGGCCGTATGGGCCGCCCCGGCCCCCCCCCCCCCCCCCCCCCCTTCCCCCCCTTGGCTACGTACCTGACTCCTATGCAGACTCTATGGTGCGCGCACGCACGTTCGCCTTTCATTCAATTAATCTGCTCCGAAATGAAAACTTAGCGGCTCTGACGTCATAGCGCTTGCCTGTGTGCTTCTTCGTCTTTTTGTCTCGTCTCTTTTGCGCTATTTTTAATGTGAGTGTCCACTACCAACTTGCCCAGCAAACCAAGCTTTTGTCATACTTCAGCTGTCGCTGTGTTTTGCCTTACGGGTGGCGCATCTGTTTTCTTTTCATTTGCACTACGACGTTGGTAAACGCTAGCTCACATTCTGTGCATAAACGTTTACCTAAATAAAAAAAAAAAATATTTATCACCTGTGTGTTTTACGTTGAAGGGTCGTCTGGACCGAGTACTGCAACTAAAAGCATGGGGTCTTTAACTTGTACTACGCAGTAGTAGAGCGCAATATCCCGTTGGTTGGATGGATGCTTAAAGGAGCGATGCAACATTTTTTGTACTTTGCGCAAATACCGCTTAAAACGGATCCCTAACGCTAATGACCCATGAAACACGCATTCGTTTTTCACCCCACGCAATAGAAGTCCCAGAAAAAAATTTAAGAAAAACGAGCAGCGGTCACCCCCTCAACTCGCAGCCAGAACAAGCGGCCACGTGATCTGGAGCCGATTATATGCCGCCAGTGTTGATCATAGCCACGCGCTGGGGTTGGCAAAGCGCAGGACACGCGCTGAGTTCCAGACATTGTTATGGCTCGGCTGTTGTCGTCGTTGCAGCGATTGGACACGGGTCACAACCCGAATGCTTCTCGAGCTAGCAATTGTCACGAGCCCAAGTCGAGTGCCCACGCAATGCTCGGGTCCAATCTATGAACCGCATTCAAATATCGTCACTTGGGTGTACTGCGATCCCCGAGTTACGTCATCAAATTTTGCAAAGGAGAGATTGAATGAAAATGATCGCTTTTGTCCTTGAAATTACAGCGTAACAAAGGAGTTTCTTGGCCAATGGCGTTGCGTGTGAGTATCCTTGAGTCCCAGGTGTGCCAGTAAGCTCGTGTAGAGAGAAAAACATTCCGATTGAATATCGTTGCACAGCTCCTTTAAGCCTTAATTCAGGCTGGTTCACACTGATAACAACTGCTTATGACCGACTGCATTAGGACGACTGTGATGGCTTACGGCGAGATGACACACCGACACGCTGGCACCGTCTTTGAGGCGCCCCTAAGACTGCATTTCACAAGAGCGATTGTTCCGCAGTATTTACGAGATCTAATGTGCGAGGTGTGATCAAAATGTTCCTGGACTGATTTTGTCGCATCATAGTGGAGGGCAGCATAGCACAGTGATGCGCGCGCAGCAGTCGAAGGCCCGAACCTTCCTGCGTCATTATTCCAAAGGGCAGAATCCTCAGTGAACTTTTGGGACTGCGCTACTCGACGTTGTATGACCACATGCACGAGCATAAGGCCATTTCTCCCTAGACTGCAAACCAAAGTGAGAGCGAACATCAATTTTACGCCAAACTGGGCAAATGTAAATCAGAGACCTCCGATATTATTTAGAAGGCTTATGCCAAAAAAACAGTGATGCGAAGCAGTTAATGCGAAGGTGCAAGTGGGCTTGACAAGAATAACGAAAATAAACCATGGAGAATGGGAACAACAGGACAAAGAACAAACAGGGATCTCCAAATACAACTAAGTCACTGGTGCGCCACTGAAAAAATCCTGCTCCGGGTATCGAACCTGGAGCTCGTTGCACCTTTGCAGTAATTACATTATGGGCCTAAGCTTAAAATGCAAGCCGTTCACCCTTGTTGTTGCTAGACTGGTGGTAGGTGTTAAAACCCGTTTTCTCTACTGGCGTCTAACTCCTGGTCAGCTTAATTGGTGGAGCGCTGCACCGGAAATGGAGAGGCCCATGGTTTGATACCAGGACCAGGCGGATTTTTTTGGTCGCCACCAGTCACTTAGCTGTGTTTGGAGATTTATGTCTTTCATTTGTCCCGCTTGTTCCCCTTCTCGAGGGTTGATTTTCGTTGTCGTTGTTTTCGCTGATAAATATGTTTACAATTATATTAAATCGAATGTAATTACTTTTGACAACGACTATTCATTCCTCTTTTTAAGCACCATGTTTTGTTTAAAGGGAAGCTACGGAGCTTCTTGGAAAAAATGAGTTAGAAGTGAATTCTAGTGTATTTTTACCCCGTGAACCCGAATACCCAAACCATTTGCTGTGTAAGTATTGTTAAACGCGAGAAAAACGCGAAAGAGAGTCGCTGTCCGTGACGTCATCGACGGCTCTTTTGGCTGCCCAAAGCTAGGGAGGCGTGGCTTCAGTCCAATTTTGAAATTGCTCGTATGGCTCTCCGGCGCGTCGCATTGAAATACAATTTTGATATCTGTTATTCTAAAGGCCAAATGAACGCAATTCAAGCGTTTTTTCTCAAATGTAGAAGTGCCCCATCTTCCCTTTAAACTAAATGCAAAATACTCAATAAAAAGCAGATACTAGTCGGAGAGGTTTAATCGCCGTTATATCCCCCGCTTGGGCTGCGTACGGTCAAATACAACTAATCTCTTGAACATAAATATAAACAGCGCATAGTAGGTTTTTAAACAAAGACCTCCGCAGCCCTATTAAGACTAATCCAAGAAAGTTTAAGAACGGGGTTAACCTGTAGCAAGCCGTACAATCGTTTCGTGTCACTAATTCATTGGGAGACGAGTGTGATGCTTCTAAGATGTGTGGTCGATTTCTTTACAAACATATTTCAGGTGGTCTATAGAAGTCCTGCCCACATTTTCCAATCCCGACGTATCGACTATTTTCAATAAAATTTTATAGGTTTTTTAGTGAACATCTAGAGGATACAAACGATAAAAACGATATACAATTTCTATTACTAGTTTTGAATACACTTTCTGTCACTAGATTTCTCTACATTTTTATAGACTAGTCTCGATAGAATGACAGCATCCAGTGCGGAAAAAGGACATAACACACATTTAGAACCTCCTTGCAAAGGCTGTTTTTGATCGAATCTGTGTAATACTCATCGCTTCATGCAATGACTTATAGTTGAAGATCACGAGCCTTTAGACACCATTTCGTATAAAAATATTGGCGAGAAAACGTCAACATACTAGTGACCTTTTTATCCTCTGGGTTTAATTCTCCTTGTTGTTGCGTCAAAAAAAGAAAAAAACGACGTGAAAGAAAGACGCTTTACATACGTTGTCACATCCTGGCATACGTGCTACTCAACATTTGATTACTTCACGTTTTGTTTGGCCAGGAATGAATGCAGACGTACCACGGTGGTCACAAACCTGCCTTCAATGCCAGAAAGTAAAAGTTCACCGACACACCGACAACCTGACGCTCGTTTCAGCCATGTACACCTAGACATCGTGGGCCCACTACCATAGTCGCAAGGTTTCCAATATCTACTCACCTGCGTTGACCGCTTTACGAGATGGCCAGAAGCGATTCCTATCTCTCGCATAACAGCCGAAGATGTCGCCCACGCATTTGTCAGTATATGGATAAATCGTTTCGGGATACCCTCTACTATCACGACTGATCGCGGTCGACAATCCGAATCCTCTCTTTTCCGCCATCTTTCGCAGTTCCTGGGAGTTAACTATATTCACAACACGTCATTCCACCCACAAGCCAACGGGATGAATGAAAGATTACACCGGCAACTAAAAACAGCTCTCATGGCACAATCCGTGA